AAATGACGAAAAAAGCTATTTCAGAATAGACTCAAAAAAAGCTATGCAATTTGCATAGCACAAATTGCGCATCTTGTTTACGGTGTAGATGCGCTCTAATTGTGTGACGCCTCAGTGGCTAGACATACCAAGGGGCTTTAGGCACCCACCTGACACTTTCAGCACCTAAATCCCAGAATCTGGCCTGGTCAGGTCTGTGAAACCCCCTCCCAGCAGTGGGCAAAAACAGGAGATGCCTAAATTTGAGTGCAAAAAACTTGGGCACCTAAGTTCCCCGGGCATCTAAAGTTTCTTCCTTTGGGCAGGCAAACTGCAGCCTTAGGCTATGTCTAGACGGCAGCCCTCTCTCGGCAGAGGGATGCAAATCAAGCACTTCAAAAGTGCAAATGAAGCCGGGATTTAAATATCCCATGCTTCATTTGCATAAACATGGCTACCGCTTTTTTTTTCGAAACGGAGCTTTTTCGAAAAATAATCCGGCAGTCTAGACAAGGATCTTGCGGAAATACAACCCTTTTTCGAAAGATCCCTTTTCCGTTAAAAGCATTTGCGGAAAAGAGCGTCTAGATTGGCACGGACGCTTTTCCACGAAAGCACGTTTTGCGGAAAAGCATCTGTGCCAGTCTAGACGCGCTTTTGCGCAAGAAAGCCTCGATCGCCATTTTCGCAATCGGGGCTTTTTTGCACAAAACAAATCTGAGCTGTCTACAAACGGGACTTTTGCCCGAACGGGAGCAGCATAGCATTTCTGCAAGAAGCACTGATTTCAGACAGTAGGAAGTCAGTGTTCTTGCGGAAATTCAAGCGGCCAGTGTAGACAACTGGCAAGTGATAAGAAATAAGTGATATTAAAGTACAGTCTCTTTCGGAGGGGAGACGCCTTTTTCGTGTCTGGGAACCTCCCTCGTGACTTTTAGACCAGTGGTAACAGCACTCAATTGGGACATGAGAGACCAAGGTTCAAGTCCTCAACCAACTAAGCAGGAGAAGGGGTATAAACAGCAGCGTTCCTCGCCGCTCTGGGGCATGATGTAACCACGGGTTCACTGGGCGTAGGGGGTATCTCAACCCCTCCCATAGATGCTGTTTCAGTTTGGATTGCGTAAGTATGGGGGGGAGACGGGGGGGGGGAACCTCTTCAGACAGGTTTGAATGATCCAAAATAAAGTAAGTGTCTAAATCCCAGAAGCTTAATTCAGGTTTGCGAAATCCCGATGTGTTCATTTCTAGAAATACATAAATAATGAATCAAAACAATGTTAATCCTGCTCTGTGGCAGAATTTTCCAAACTCACCAACATATTGTGCATGGACTATATTTCGATGATTGTATTAATGTCTGTGATTAATGGGCGTTCTCTCTTCCCCGCCATTGTGCTTCGAACTTAACGTTTTGCCATCACAGAAACTAAGATGGAGTTAATGTGTCGGATATATGTCAGTAATGTGGCATAGGATACAGTCAAATATTTTTTTTATTTCTCCAAAATACTGATAGATTATCAATCATTAATGTTAAACAAAATCGGAATAGTTTATGATAAGAAATAAGTGATATTAAAGTACACACATAACCTTAACTCTGCCCCTTAAACAGATGAACATGAGAACATAAGAATGGCTGTACTGGGTCAGACCAAAGGTCCATCTAGCCCAGTCTGCTGACAGTGGCCAACACCAGGTGCCCCAGAGAGGGTGGACCAAAAACAATGATCAAGCGATTTGTTTCCTGCCATCCCTCTCCAGCCTCTGACAGACAGAGGCCAGGGACACCAATTCTATCCCCTGGCTACTTGCCTTTATGGGCCTAACCTCCATGAAATTATCTAGCTTCTCTTTAAATTATGTTATAGTCCCAGCCTTCACAGCCTCCTCTAGCAAGGAGTTCCACAGGTTGACTATGCGCTGTGTGAAGAACTTTCTTTTATTATTTTTAAACCTGCTACCCATTAATTTCATTTGGTGTCCGCTAGTTCTTCTATTATGGGAACTAATAAATAACTTTTCTTTATCCGCCCTCTCCACACCACTCATGATTTTATAAACTTCTATCATATCCCCCCTCAGTCTCCTCTTTTCTAAACTGAAAAGTCCCAGTCGCTTTAACCTCTCTTCATATGGGACCCGTTCCAAACCCCTCATCATTTTAGTTGCCCTTAGATGAGGA